AATAATCTTACGCCACCCTTGCACAAAACGACGATAATTTTTCTAATTTCATAGACAACAGAAGACTGTATTTTTCTACGTAACTGGGCTGGATCCGCCCCTGGTTATGCAAACAACAAAGTTCGAAGTTTTCAACAATTGCACTTACCCATTTTCCCCATTTCTGTTTCGATTGAATTCGCAAAGTTTTCAACAGCCTTCAAAGCCCCGAAAATTTGAAATGCCCGCCTTCACGACACAAATAGTCAGTTCTGATTGGCAGTCGCGGCTTGTCAAGATGGCCTCTAGTATCACGGAAACTCCCGTTTCAAAATCGTGTTTTTTCCGTTAAAATTGCACTACCGGTGTGAAAAATTGCACAAAACGGTAAACGGCAAGTTTTTCCTTCGAAATACAGGCAATTTTCCGCAGACAAATGGAGAAATCCTAAAATAATTCAAAATCCGCACGGAGCAGTCACGTGTTATGTTCTTCTGACAGCAAATGTGACGTTTTTTTTATATACAGACATTAGTAGCCGGTTTGTCAAGATGCGAGTGAGTAGACGTCAGAAAGTGCCGAACTAAAATCGCGTTTTGGCTGTTAAACTGCACTATCGGTTGCGAAATTACGTGGATGTGGAAAGCAAAGGCTTCCTTTCAAAAATTTTCCCCTTGGAAATTTGAAAATTCGGTAATTTTTTGCTTTTCTGACCAAATGTCGTGAGACCAAACACCGGATACAACTGGAACGCTTAAAATTATCTTAGGAAGCGTATATTATATTTGTACAAGCACTAAACACTCTGTATAAAACACCTGAAAGCGCGCGTTTTGGTACCTACGCTTCCATCTTGGGAAGAAGACTGACACTAAGAACTTTTAAGTGTTCATCTGCATCAAAAAGGGTACTGAAACGCGCGGCAGGTATAAAATAAAGTTTCCCCAAAGTGGTAAAACTCAATTAGTGTAAGGGATTGTATTTCAAATGGTAAAGGAAATTATCACGTAAACTGCAAAGCCAATATTTTCAACACTATATGAATCCAAATCTGCGCATTATAAATACATGGCTTCAAACGCCGATAATCTCCTAGCCCTATTTGAAACATCCGTGCATCGAGTGTCTATATGATACAGAAAAGCTATAAGATGTACTATCATAACTCGGCCACTTAGATACCCCAAAAGGGTGCGCAAAATTGGCATTCCCTCTAAATTGGCAGCTAACCAGTGGAAAAACTGCAGGCTCGAGTAGTTGAACGCGAGCGAACCCAGCAAACTGAAAGAGTGTCCATTAACTGCCTTCATGTTCTAATAAACCAAGTCTTACCTAAATGTGAATCTGTGCACAGGCACCAGAGGTTTAAGAGAGGGCCTCGACATGATCATAACGGCGATTCCATAAATCATGTTCCATAACAGAAATGGATAGAGATCTACGCTTGTAAAACTGCAAATTAACGTGCCTTTTAAAAACGTTCCAATGGCGTTATTTTTTAAATCGCGTTTAAAAATAGTTAGCTTTCATTGACACCTACTATTCAAATAGAGCCGGATTAACCGCATAAATGGACATCAGACAGTAGGCAAACCGCCCTTGAAAGCCGGCTATTTCACAGAATGCCTTGATAAATTCTTCGCGTTCCTCTACCTCTGACTGAGTGCCTTGTTCAGGCATAGTTTACCCCATTCTTTTGCCTACAAACTACAGAAAATTTTCAGACTTTTCCTAAGATCCTGTTGCTGTCACCGTGAAATGTTTCATACAAGGGGTAAGAAAAATTAACTATTCACTAGATGTAGGTTTAATTTTCAACACATTACGGGCACAACGCGAAGGCAAATCAACAAGTCATATATAAGAAACTACCTATGCAGTCTTTAAAAATAAGTGAATAAATTAAGAGGCTTTCGGTACTAAAGAATCCACTGAGTTGGCGTAACTTGTGCCGATTTTGATCAGTGCCAGGCCCGAGCCTATTCCGCAAGCTGTGCAAAGAGCCACATTTTGGGGCACCACACTCCTGATAATCGCCCAGATCAACACTGACCCCAGTGAGAAAGTTACAGCACCAAAAGCGCTAAAAACAACCAACAAAATTAGCCCCCAAAGACCAGATTTTTTGGACACACTCATTACCTATAGAGGAGCTTTTCTTTGGGTGGCAGGACGGCTAGATGCGGCCTGTTATACAGATACAGTCCACTTCCCAGCAGAGCATTGAATAGTAAGATATTGGTTATGTCCCTTTTTGGAAATACTCTGGAACACAATTGCGTAACAATGGAGTAGGGCTGGTGCTTTCAAGGTAGTTGAGCGGTGCCTTACCTCAGAACTAGAGAAGGGTTCATAACATTCACCGATAGGGCTGTATAGCTCAGAACCCCCTGAGCTGGAGCGTAGTAAAATAACAAGTTCTGAGAAGTGAGAGGTTTCAACCCCAGTTTGCTGCAAGCAGACACTTTGGACTCTGGCGCCGACATTATTCAACGTTTCAATTAATCACGTGGAAATTTGGATTTTTCAAAATGAAATTCCAAAAATAAGTTGAAATCTTAGACGCAAGTGACACCATCAGATGCCATGTTCTTCTTCTCAATCTCGCCGAAAATAGGGGTTACTTTCATCTTTCATCAACACTGTTATAGAAGTGAGGTTACATCGAGCATTTATCAAATGCCATAACAGTAAATTGTTGATTAGTTTTGAAAAAAATGGCTTTGCGTTTAACTCTCCGAAATATTCGTGTTGGCCAGAATCTAAATGGCACATTCTTCAAAGGCAGCCATCGGCATTTAACGAACAATCCCCCTGAGGCTCCCACAGATCAGAAGAGTGGATCTTATGCAGCAGCCTATAAAAAGTTCGAAGATATCAATAAACCTTCAGTAAAAGCGCCGGAAACTTTCGCCAGTCTGTTGAAAAACTCCAAGTTTATAGACGTAAGTTGCAAACGAACCAAAATAGCTTGAAATTGACTTTCCACCTAACCACTTGCAGTTAGGTGATCCTGAAGGAAAAGTAGTCACAGGCAAAATATTTCACACAGTGGACGACGATCTTTATATAGATTTCGGCTGGAAGTTTCACTGCGTTTGTTCCAGACCAAGAAATAATGGCAGGTAAACTAAAAATCACATTTCGAAGCGTGTAAAGCAGCGTAGGTTAATCATTTCAGTAGCTACATTCGAGGGGCTAAAGTGAGATTGCGAATCAAGGATCTGGAATTGTCCACCAAGTTTCTGGGCTCTGACAAAGATCTTACTTTACTAGAGGCAGACTGCCAATTACTGGGTTTAGTGCGGGATAGAAAGTAAATGCACATATCTTGTACACATTTTAATTAAATTATTATTAAAAAGTTTGATAAATGTCTTTAGAAAATCATCAATCAATCAAGTCGGAAGCGATCCATTGCAAACGCCCCTTCAAGTTTTCCCATTCGAAATAATCGACATTTTTGGACCATTTCAAGCTATTTTTGATCACCATATTTAACCGACAATAACTTCCTTACTGTAAACCAAAAAAAATGCATACTGGAACTTACAAATTCGCGCCCTTAAGATGAAATAGACGAAGAACGCTCAAAACCCTCTTAGAATTAACTGAATAACATAAAGACATAAAAATCCAACTTTCTCTAATCAGGTGATTAAACTGTATAATTGCACTTGAGTTAAATAAAACACTTTACAAATTGACCTCTTTAAATTAAATTTGGCAAGACATTAGTACATTTAGAAAATCGTAAAATTATATTACAATATGCTTTCTTTGAGCTGCCGATCGTCAAGTCTGATTTAACATAAAAACTACTAATATATATTACAAATTATTTAAAGCTCTTTACCAAAATATTCTATATATATTTACAGAACAGCAACAGAAAAAAATCGTTAACCTACGGCCTCTTAACAAAAATATTATTCACAACTATCAGTAGAATTACCGTTTAACATACATTCAGATCTACAAAGTCGTTAGTCGAGTATAGTAATGTGAGGTATATATTAATGACAATAAAATTACGTAACACAAGTAACAGTTTAAGGCACGTTAAGAATTCGTTTTAACTATCGTGGGATGAAATATTCATACATAAAAAGAAAAAAATGGTTGAAGATATAAAACAAATTCCAATGGAAATTATAAAATAGTGCAGGGCAAGCCACAACACAAAGGCAAGCAAACGGGAACCACTGCAACCCCTTTCTTTGTTTTGGTTTTGGAACCGCCGTCTGATGCGTACATGTATTTTTCCGAACCTTTAGCATATTCTCCCTGAAATTTAGCTCATTTTAATACCATTGCTAAGCTCCAACTGATCGGTAGTACCTGAGCTCTCCATGCTCCTCCACCTCCTTCCTCTTTCTTGGAGAACATCTCGTGCCCTGGGGGATAGTAAACCGGGGGTCCAGTCACATTTCTGGTAGCCGGCTCCTTTTGCTGAGCGTCCGCCACATCGGCGCTCTGTTGCTTTAATGTTTCCACCACCTTCTTATGAGCGACCTCTTTTTCGTGTGCATTGAACCCAGCGTTCAGTGGGCTATTTGGAGGCTGGCAAATTGAATTGCCATTTACTTTACAGTTGATTGATTAGCTAGTTAATAGTACCTCTTGTCCTATTGAAGCCATAAGTTCATCAATCCTCTTCGGAGGCCCATCAGGGCCATCGTCGGTGGGGAATTTGCGTGGCAGCAAAGTTTGGCTCTCTTCGTTCGGAGGATAGCCTCCTTTATATCTAAGCAAGCCGCTGATTAGACTTGGTCTACTCAAGGGAGAGTTGAAAACTTACCGGTTTTCCGTCGTATTAGTGGACTTATAAGAATACTGAATGTTAATGGGTTCTTGGGGCTTCCGTCCATATGGGGGGCTTTGTGGAGGGAACGTTTCCACATCCCTAGGGGGCGATTGATGAGTATGAGGCGGGTGTCCGTTTTGATAGTTAGTGGTGTGAGTCTCTTTTAGTACATAAGTTTTTTTCTCCGGGCCGGATGGCGGGTTATAAACGGGATATCTACAAGAAGTTATTTTGTTGCTCCACAGCCCTGATTTAGGATTTTTTATTTATTCACATACCCTCTTTCTGACATCGGCGGCTGGCCTCTATTGATTATATTGGTCTCCCTATTGATTATGTACTCCCTGCTTTCTTGGTTGGGTGGAGGCGCTGGTGGATACGCATTTTGAATGTTTTTCGTTGTGGTTGACTCGTTGTATACGTAGGTTTGGTTGCGATCTGTTTCTCAAAGTATTCAGTGTTACACCAAGATAATTGGATTAATTCGGGCAACCATACTTGGAGGGCTTGGATCCTGCTGATATCCCGGCTGGTAGTTCCTTATGGTAGTCACCTCCTCTTTTACACTGGTATGCTCCGCAGGAGGCGCAGGTTTCCGGTAAGGAGGGTAATAGACCACGTCATCCTGCACCATTTCTTTGTAGGACTTCTTGAGGCTGGAGTCTTTCCATCCGGGTTCTTGCGGTTGTTGCTGGTAGTAGTTTTCTTTGTTCTCCAGCTAGAATAGAATGTTTGATTTGCCCGTCAATAAACGTTGGTTGCATAAAAACCTACTTTATTGTACACAAAGCTTTTACTAGGGGTAGTGATGGTTTCGTTGGGAGAGTATGTGTATTTGTCCACTTTATCCAGGTATTTTTCGTTGATTGTCGTATCCTCCCGCACTTGAGTTGGGTAGTTTCCTGATCCAGGGATTTCGTAGGTGTACGTTTTAATTGTGGTTGTCACCTTCGTGTTTCCTGCAATATTAATCCGAATTAATTGCCAAAGCTAGAAAATGTTCCAATGATTTTTTTGGAAAGATCGTTCAGATGCAAAAGATGTGAGCAAAATCGTCAAAATGTTTGACTGGATTTTTCTTCTGTGGTATTTTAGCAGCGTTGAAGAAGACCGATTCGGTCGAAAGTGCCCTTCAATAACGCATTATTCCCCATTTACACATTTGAAATTCACGAGATTTCATTATATTTATCCCGAAGCCCTCAGGTTCTCACGGAACCGATTAACGCTAGCAATTCGTGATCTTTCATATAATGTTCTAAATTACCTACATGTTGCATGCATTAATCGAATGGTGCGCCTAAACGTTTTACCTGCAGGATGTAAATTGGGATCCAAATGGGCCAAAACTTCAGGATCGATGTCTGGCACCGGAGTTTCCACCACTCGAATCGGATACTCATGCACATTTGTAACTTTCGTTTGTTTCGTTAAGGTGGAGCTTTTTGAGGAGGGCGAAGGCGATGTGGGTCGCATCGGTCTGAGGTCGCCATATGTGCCTTCGCTCGTGTATCCCAAGTTGTTTTTGTACGAACTTTTCTCCTCCAATCGTTCGAAAGTCCTGGATTTAGATGCGGGCGGCGTGTCGCCATAGTGGAGCTCGCGGTTTACTGATTTTGTCGACGTTCTAGAGTTTCAACCAGAATATAAGAAAATTGCCAACTGGTAATAAAGAAACGGCACTAAAGTTTTGTGTATAATAAAACCGGTTTTGAAATATGGCTCTTAGATACTCACTGAAATCCTGGATCGGAGCCAGCATTATAGGTTTCTGGAAAACAAACAATTGTGCTAAAAATACGTTTGATTCACTAAAAGTTTGCGTCGGAAATATGTTTTGCAGAAAATTCTAGACTCCTACCTTTCTCTGAATAGGAGGACTTCTTGACTTGTTGCAAATCATCTAGCAGGGAGTCCAACTGGCTGATGCTGTTCTGCATTCTGGAGCGCTCTGGTTCGATATCGCGTTCCACGGTGCTTTTTCCATACATATATTTTTCCTTTTTGTAACTGTGGACTTTTCCTTTACCGTCTGGCGACTGGAATTACAAAATTTCGCAGTTTAAATAACATACAATTTTCAAAAATCAAATAAGAAAGACTTTCGAACAAGAGCTGATTAAATTTATTTAACTTTTACAAAATGTAGGATTTGTGTTCACTACTGATTAATTGACTTGTTCTGAGTATCCGCCACATTAATTCGCAACTTGACACCGTTTTAGGTCATTAGTATGTTTCAGGGTCAATCAACACTCGAAATTCCCGACGATAAAAATTCGTAATTGTCCCAACAGGCGTGACTCTTTTACTGGGCGTCAGTGGCACCTTTTTAGCTTAATAATTCCTTAACTTGAGTAAATAACTCCTCGCAGAACCCATTAAGCTCTTCCTTACCGCATATGTATAGGCGTCATCGGAAGAATATTCCGTAACAGGATTTGAGGGTTTCAAGTTGGTTACTCGATTGAGGGAATTGGTTTTTCCATACCCATCCGTTCCACTGCTGATGTACTTTGAAGTTTCCTTGTAGCTGGAAGTTGCATTCTGTCCTAGCGAGCTGCCTGGGCGAGAAACAGAGTTCTGGAGGTCTTCTAGCAAATTATCTGCAGAAAAACGTGTGGAAAATTCAAAACTCTTCAATTATTGGCTGCGAAACATCTACCTAAGTTCGAATCGAATTGGGCAAGGTTTTGATTGGAACTTCTCACAGTCCTCACTGGAGAGCTGCTTCGCAGTATCCGAGTTTCTTGGTACTCCTTTCGTTCTACGGTGGACATTTTCAGTTCCTATGGTCTAATGTTAAGCTACAACACCTAAAATCAAAGAGAATGTTTTTTAGGAACTTTAAGTTAAAAATTAGTTAGATTTACTTGAACAAGCTACATGGAATTTTTTAAATGTTTCGACCTAATTCGACGACGTTTCAATTTGGACATTAAAATAGAGTTTTTGACCGATAGAGATTTGCTCCTGTTTCCCAGCTTCCGTTTTTAGCTCGATTCATCTTTACTGAAACATTAATTTCGCTTGAGTCCGCTGTGACTTCATCTCAATTTTTTTAAGCTGCGTTGTGCGTTTTTTTTGCGTTTCACCTCCGATCTTCTAAGTTAGGAATGGCATTTTTTGCTATTCGAATACTAACGTTATTTCTCAATGTGTTCAGACATTTTAAAGCAATAAGTTGTTTGAAAAAAGTCAATCCATCTCTTTTGGCGCATTTAAGTCGTTCTGGATCCTCCAAAAACGCGCAAGTTTCAAGGAATGGTCTGGAAAACACCACTTTTCCGATAAACAACTTTAGAATTTTGCGTCGAGAAATTCGAACAATTTCACTGTTTGACTGATGAGTTTTTTGAGCTTCAAGACGGTCGTGGAAAAAAATAATTTCCGACGTTTTGCAAGCACGCTTGTTTTGCATTTTCAGAGTGGTGGCTTAAAACCCCAAAAAACTCATCAGTTTCGATAAGTTGAAAATTGAGCGTAAAATCAAAATCAAAATAAAAAAAAATGATGAGATGCAGATTTTTGAATGACACGAAGAATAATAAAAGCAGGGAAACTTCGATGGTCTAGAGATAAATCAGTGAAAAACACATCGATCGATGTAATAGAAATTCGCTACTTTTGTATTGCTAAAAAAATTAAATAAAATAATAAACTCGACTTGAAACGCGTCATTGCATAATCCTGTTTTTTCCTCAAAAATAAAACATTCCCTAGAGATTTTCCCATCATTCATTTCTAATTGGAAGTCCGCACCAGTAGAGTATTTTTAAAAACATCCTATTAATATATGAGTGAAAGACTATCTGCATTCAAAACTACAACCGGTCATGGTTACATCCATAAAAGGCTCGCAACAGCGCCTACTCATTACACTGGCTGCTGGTCGATTTTTACGATTCTTCTGAACACCAAGAATGACACTGACCCAATTTCAGACCTCCAACTGTCCTTAATGCCGTTGTTTTTCCCACATTAACCTCCGTTTCGATTTCAAAGAAAACACGTAAAGGTGATGGATGAATACGCGACATACACACATGGTGTTTGGAACAACACGACCTGATTTCTATCGGAAATTATCCATTTTCTTCTTGGATTTGGGTCACTTACTCTGGAAAATTGCAAAAAGAGCGAACATTCAAACACAGGTTTTCACAGCATCTTCATAGAAGAACTCATTTGCTATTTAATCGACTTAAGTTTCTTCTATACCAACAGTTTTTTTAGCTTTGAAAGGAATAAGTGTTTCAGGCCCTCAGCTGCGTCCTCACTTTACTCTTTTTTTACAACTCCATAGCTAGAGCAGAAATTTGAAACTTTCTTACGAAACTTGATTTCGTGTGTATCTGGATAAAAATATGTATAAATAAATCTGTTAAAATGATATAATTAACTATTAAGTCATACTTTTGAGCATATCAGTTACTTGAAAGCTTATTAATAAGTCCAGCGAATTTTGAAATCTACTTACATATTGTGGAAGCCTCAATTCTGATAACACCGAAAATTTACAGTTTGGAGTTATGGTGGCATTGGCCACCAAAAAAAACTATAAAATCTCACAAATGTTGCAAAGATCAAATGCGATTAAGTTCATGCTTTCATACTTTAGGGTTTATCAACAGATAAGCGACTGAACTTATTAAATAAACCATTGGCGCACTAATAATCTGAAATGTTTCCAATTTACGCTTTGAGTGAATGGGCTTATGGTATTAAATTTACCAGATTGGAAGCGATTTCATAAACACATGCGAAGATTCTTCTTATTCTTCATAAAGCCGTGTCGTAACTTTAACCGAAGACAGACAGATCTTGATGGTTCTTCTTCAAGTGGTTGACCTTCGTCCGACTGTCTGAGACAAGGTTCGTACAAATTCGGTTGAAATTGAAGGCCGCAAGGTTCCTACCAAAACCAAATCGATTATATTTTTATATTGAATATTGAATGAACGTGCACAATTTTTTTACGCTTGAAACAATGCAGTTTTCTTTGTTATGTCAGGACGTCCTGAAGTTGATTTTTGATCTTTCGGATAACGCTGGGTAAATATGCTCAGCACACATGGATGGCCACACGTGATCCGAGCGGAAATCCTTTTAACATAAATCTGTAACTGCGACTGTTTGTTTATTTACATATCTCTGATCTTTAAATGTGTTAAAACATTACTTGTATGTGCAACAGACACAAGCTAATTTCGCTGACTAATTAGTTTCGGGAAAAAATACGTTTTCTTGCAACTTTGCAAGCTCTGATGAGGAGGATTCAGCTTGCGTGAAGCTCGATGTAAAAGTGAATTTTATTCAAGGTTGTTCTTAATCGAGGCAGAGGAGTAAAGTAATTCTAGAAAATGCGAAAATTGCTGTAACTAAAGCAAATTAGGGCCAATTGACCTCTGTTGGTGTGAAACTTAATTTATTTAGCGCCAATCAGTTGTTGAATACAGCAAGATTGTCACACCATGTGGTCTAAATATGCGATTCTAATGAAAATTGGACTAAAAGCTCGTTCCGGACTGAGAGTCCAAATAGGATGCTTTGAGTTCTTCCTGCGGAAGACGCAAACCCACAAGACTTTTACAGAGAAGCAAACTTAGTTAAACTTGCAAGACTTGTAGCTTGTTAAATCTCCAGCAAGTCTGAAAATCAAATTTGGTTCATCGGGCATTCCAAATCGAACTGCTGAAGTCGCAGCTAAATCATTTATTTTCTTTTAATGGCCTTCTGTCGTTTTTTACACACTTGGTATTCCATTGGCATAGAATTTATAACGAGTTTCTATATTTGGTGCGTCCATATTAGGCTGCCTTTTGCAACGTGTAGGTTTTTTGACCATATGTTGTGAATGTCCAGCGATTCAATGCATTCTCTCTTTCAGCCATTTGTCTGCGCTTATTGAATCATATTGGGCGGAATTGGATCAGCCATAGGCCTGGGTAACACTGTGTTGAGTTGCGCTATTGAGTTGCTGCCGTTCTCTGAGTTAACGAGTTATAACTCATCGATTAATGAGTTATAATTCATTTGTTAAAGCTTTGCGAGACCCCGAGACTGCAATTTTCACATCTAAAATAGGGTTATTCACATTTTTTCTGAGTAACGTTTTACTACTTTGTTCAAACAACTGATCAAAAGTCATCTAGATTTTCCCAGCAACAAAACTGAGTCCAAACAAAGTCGACGAGTTTTCTTGTTAAATCGATCTCCGTTTGCCAGTATTTTACAGTAAAACCTTAGGAAAACAGGACCTGCTGTTCTGTTTAGCATTTTTCCAAAGCGGTTAAGGAGGCGAGTGTTCCAATAAAATCTATCTTATAATTTTTCACAGAAAATATCTGAAGATTTTCAGTATTTTAACTAATAATAATGCGATTTGAATGATGAAAAACTGAATAAAATGACTTGGTTTTTGTTCCAAAATCGAAGCTGAAAAGCGTTTTCTACAGTTCCCTGCAAACCGACGAATGGGGCGAATTTTCTAGCAAAATTAATTTTGTAATTTTTGACTGAAAACACCCTATTTTTGTCAAAAAAGAAGAAAATCATCATAAAATAATGCTTTTTTGCGTTTTCGACTAAAAACTTCTAGTTTTGTGATCGGTTTTGGAGAAAACCTTAATGGCTTTCGGGAAAAAACGGTAGGAATTTATTTTCGTTTTTGTCCCGAATTCGACACTGAAACAAGTTTTTGTAAATTTTTTACAAAGTTATAAATTTGGCTTGTAATTTTTCGCCTAAAAGTCTTCCACATGGTCAGTATTTTTAAGCGAACCCCTACAAAATAGAGCCTTTTTTGAGTAGAAAGTAATGCAAAAAAAATCAGTCAAAACTGAAAAACCATATTTTTTAACAAATTCTACAGTCTTGAAAGGAATGGAGGTGACGAGATTTCTTTGATTTATTTGATTTTTGTTCCAAATTCGAAGCTGGAAAGGGATTTCAAAACTTTTTCCAAAGCGACGAAGGATTGGAAATTTATTTCATAATTTTTGGCGAAAAATACCTTAAGATTGTCAGCGTTTTGAAGTGAAACTTTAGAAAATTGAGCATGTAGAAGAAAGAGTAACTTGGCCAAAACTGGGAAATTCTGAAATTTGAAGACATTTTAAAAACATTAATAAATTGCCTTTAAAATAAATCTAAAAAAAGTTAAAAAAGTCAACAACATTTTCCCAGCATCGGAACTGAGTTACTGCGCCGGTGCGTTGGGTTGGCGCACCAACTGCAGCGCTTCCAAAAAATCTTTCAACAAACTCTCGTATGGCTGATGCTCAGTTAATTTTGATTGAGTTTACTCACTTTACTCGGTGTCACTCTGTGATTTGCCAAACTGTTTATAAACTGATGACTAACATGCGAGGATTCGCCAGACTTAGGTGGCGCCTTTAGTTGAGCTTTAGTGACTTATTTCTGTACGTGTTACAAGTAACCGTACCTGTTGTTCAAAGTCTACGTGAACGTAAACGCGATAAATTATTACAATCTCTTGGCATCGTCCACATAAAGGTCTTGGCAGGTCTCAACATCCTCAGCCTTAATGGCTCGGATGACTGGTCGGAAATGATCAGCATGAGCCTATTTTAGAGGCGAATATAAGTGAGTTTTATTTCAAATTTCTACCGAACAAACGTGCATCTTTCGCACTTGAATAGGAAACAATGTAATAACAAGCATTGTTTTGGGAAATTTGCTCCGTTCTAATTAATATTGTGTGTGCGTGCCAAAGAATCGGCCCGTCCAGACAAAAGGAAATCGGCTTTTCCCATGAAAATGGATCAGGTCAACATCTTAAGCGCTGATGCGTGCAAACGGAAACTATTTTAGCGACTGACCCAAATAAAATGCATTCGGGGAACTTTAAAGCCTCCGGTCACGCCCAAAAGCTAACTCTGTTTTTCTTTGCGGGAAAAGGAGTTGGATTTCTGGAAAAATAACGAAGCGAATGAACGAAACAGACAATTATCGGGTTGATTCCGGGAAAATTCTTAGGCTAATCGTAAAACACGCAACCAACTAGGTGTGATAGTTTTATAAAATGTGGGTGTTACACTGTTGGGTTAGTTATCGATCTGGTACCACAACGTTCTAATCATAGTGTTACGCCAGTCCGATTTCCTCCGATGTTCGCCCACGGGAATTTTTCTGAAAATGGACATGGAACTATCGAGGTGACATAATGTCGAGTTAGGATCATCTCATTAAGATCGGGTTTTTACCTCCACAAGAATCAGATGGAGTGAATCGAACCATTGTTGATAATCTGCAGATTTCGACACTAGCAAAACAAGTTGATTGGACCTAATTCGGTTCATTCATTCGGCGAGATCATTCTTATTAGCGATTATGATCGCACTGGAACTGTATGTAAAATAATTCAATCGGTTCCAATTTAAATCCTGGCTGTGTGCCTATTCCAAACGTAAATATTTATTATTGGGTCATTTAAATTCGTACCCAGACCTATTTGAAAATCGGGTTTCAATGTCGATGATTATATGGAATCTGTGCAAGATCCTTAGAAAGAGGCTCTTTTCTCGATCGATTATCGGCAGGTTTGCCCAGGGAAGTTGGAAAATCTGGAAGATACCTAGAGCTAAACAGGTTGTTTGTTCCCTTGTTCCCTACTAATCAGCTCAAGATGAGAATTGTGATCAAACACAAAGCGGTCCTACGCGCGAAGGCACATTTGGGTTTTCTAGAAAACCATTCTACTCTTTACCATTTTACTTTGGGAACCCGTTAAGGGGTGTAATTTTCTGAAAAAAATCAGATATTTATGTCAAGTCTTATGAGGATTTTTCTCATTTTCCACACGAATGAGACATCGGTTTCCCAGTCGGAAACGCAAAATGAAAAGTTTCTCTTAAAAGCTCAAAAATTAAAATGAAACTGAATTAGGATACGGTCAAGAGCAAAACACTTGATAATGTTTAAAGAAAAATTCGGGTATTTTAAGTTTAATCGCTGCAGTAACCTGATTTTTTTATTAAAACCAGCACTCTCAGCGAGATTGAGGCATGGCCAGATATAAATACTTGACCGCAGCCTAATATCTGATAATCACGGCATGCTAAAGTCGATTTTCTATCAATATTGCTAAAAATAAGTGCGGTTTCTCCGCAACATTCATGGTCACTTGCCATTATTTTCGGCCGATTTCTGTGGGTTTCTCGTGAAAAAATAACAGATTTTTTAATTATTTGAAGTCGGTAATCATCAAATGCCCTGAAGAATAATAAAACGATAACCATTAGCATTAAGCGTAAACAAGCGATAAGAGCGACAATTTTTATAATCTGTTACCTAACTTCGGGCAAATCGTTTGAAGAAGATAATGCATCTATTTTGCAATTTGGGATAATTTCAGCTTTCAGTGTTACAACAAGCAGCATAATGGAGCCTCAAGCGCGCAAAGTCTCGCTTAAATTGGAAACACATGCATGGTATAATTTTACGAAGCGTTACGTAGTTCTTAATTAACAAATCATCTCTGGATTTAATTAGGATCAATTAAAACAATGTTGATGATATTTAGACAATTCTACTCATCACTGTCAGATGGTTTGGAAAATATTTTCATATACAAAGTCGTAGAATTTTGCCATGTTTTGCGTTTTATTCATGCTGTTTTATTCAAACTAACTTGCTTCATTTTTGCTGTTCATTTAATGGAAAATATATGTGAGTAGCAGAAATTTAGCTGCAAGCAACATTGTAGCTTTCGCACTTGCATGGGTGATAAGCGCAGGTTAATTAATTTAAAAAAATCAGAATCCCCCACAGAGAAAAACAGGTTTCAATCAAAATAGGCAAAAGCTCACTTGGAGGCATGCAGAAATTCAGATCTGCTTTTTGTTACTGACGTTTTTTATTTCAATCTTGAAAATTCTCCATAGAATTTGCGTTTGTCAACCGAAAGAAATAAGCTCCGAACTTTGATCGTTTTTCCTGCAACTTTTCCACATAAAATGGAAATTTTTATATTTGAATGCAACGAAAAATAACCCCAATCAGGAAGTAAACAGTGTCCATAAAGTTTGCGATTGCCAACAGAAAAAACAAGTTTCAACCTTTAATATGCAAAAGATCAGTTGGAGACACGCAGAAATTAAAATCTGTTTTTTGTTAACAGAATTTTTTCTTGCAAATTTGCCATGAAGAGTAATTTTTCAGTTACTTTAAACTGATTTTGTCGAAATAACTTCGTCCAGCTAATTTTCACTTTACTGACTGAATTTTTTGTCTACTTTAGTGGATAATTGTGTTTAAGTAAAGAATAGCCACAAAACTGTTTCTTTAAGTATCTTTTTAACTAAATCTCATTATCGCACCTGTTCACTCTGTATAAACTGTGTTGGATCACCCGAAACTAAAATATAAAACAAAGTCTATATTTGTTTACCTTGAATGATGTTGGGTTTAGCATAAGTTTCGAATCATTAACGCAAATAAATGCCATAAATAAATATTCTGTTTTCGCATAGGAATGACGCTTTGCGTTACTGAAAATGATGCATTTGTTATAAAACTTGACCACGTGGGTGGATCCTAAAAATCAATGTTTTTCGCCTTCTTGCACCAGAGAGACTTTGAATGAAGTTTCAAAATTCGTAAATGTTGTGAACTGAAAACTTCCGAAGAATGAATAATCATGTAAATTAGAAGAGAAGAAACTAAATTAAAACAGCTCTGAGGATTAGTTGGTGGCAACCTGATGTCCACTCTCTTGCCATTTATCACACACGTCCTTGTTGCAAACAACATGATTACATTCGATTTACATTTAATGACAGAGATACTTTTCAATGATAAATCCGCTAGTTAAGGCGCAAATAGGTACTTTTCACTAATCAATCACCTTTTAGACCTTCAATGGGCTTAATTGGGTTTGAGCGAGTCGAACAAGGCTTTTGAAAGCTTGAAAAGCCGCTATGAATGCATTCAAGCGAAAGCTTTCATAATCCCTTAATATTTGCGCGTAAATTTTCCTAACAAGCTTTTTCCAAAGCCCACGAAACTCGATGATAAAGGTCCAGGTGCGACTTGAAAACTAGCAACCTGATGCCTCAACTCACTACCGCGATATATGGAGATTCTCTTAAAACGCGGATATCTTTCGAAAGCACACTTACCTAAAAGCTCCTGCGAAAAATTTATTCCTGGGTTAAGCACACACATGCACAACACACTAAATGAGCGGCAAACGAAGAGCAGAAAAGTTATTCTCGGATTGTTAGCGATCAGGATTGTTTTGGACCAAGTTCAAATGACCGCGCGCGTAGGTAATGTACGAAACTCGCATGCGCCTGAAGGGGGCTATTCCTGAATGTGAAACGTCGCGGTGAGCACATCTCGCCAGACTAGAACTTGTTTTTATCTATTGACTAGAACATACAGGTGTTGATTCGACAGTTTTCGATTTTGTTTTCTTTCCGTCTTGGAACTTTTCAGAAACTGAAACTTTGCGTTTGTTTTTTTCTGTATGTGGTTTAGTATTTGCTTTAAATTCCACAACTTTTTATTTAACAAAAATAACAGGCTTCTTACTGTTCCTTGAGTTTGTAAACAAGAATTTCTTAAGACCTTAAGCAGCTTGCAGGTTGATGACAAACTATTTGCCACATTTTTGAAAATTAAAACACTGTGGGAACTGGTAGAGTCATTTGCATCTGTGAGTTCTAATCATTTTCTGCAGATAGAGAGCTAGATGATGGTTCATTTACGGTGGAGAATAAAATCCCTCGTTCGTGCCACCAGACCAAGATCACTTGTTTCGCAGGAATGGACGCGTGGGTGACCAATTCGAATTTTAAGAAACTCCCAAACAGGTATTAATGAGCTGTTGCCTGTTCTTTTACAGTAGTCGATGGCGCTCAGTTGGCGGACATTCCTCGAATTCGTGACGTGAGCCGGATGGCTTGGATCAGTCGCTTCTCTCCTAATATGGGGATGGAGCTAGAGAAGTCTAGGTCCTTGCTTAATTAATTTTTTTCCCATTTCTCTTCTCAGTTAGCTTTCGAAAAGTATTATATTTTCCTGGTGTTTTTGAGTTGCAAAATTGACTCAAACCTGAAATTGCCTTTTTTAGCGTTTCTTAAGAGCCATTTGAGTCACAGAGCTCGTTTTTATATCACTGCATAGGGAATTGGAAACTCGGTTCAGTTATATCAAGGTGCGTGAGGATTTTTGATGGTTTGAGTCAAAGAGCTAAATTTGAAAACAGACATTTAGGTGCAAGATTAGGCCAAAAGTTCATGTTTTTCCGTCACGTTTTTGCTCATTTCTCGAGAAGGAATTGAGCTCGATTGCTCATTGATACCTCGCTGGAGAGCGAACTAAATGGCGCTTTTAGGCAGTGGAGTATCGATTAAGAAATGTTGCTGTTTTGTCAAAAAAAGGGTCAATTTCAAGCAGTTTTAGTTTGGCTGTTTTTTTTTTAATGACAAAATCCACTTAAACATTTGAGCCACAGAGTTTGTTTTTTATATCACTGGTTAGGGACTTGGAAGCTCGATTCAGTTATAACAACGTGCGTGAGGAAATTCTGGGAGTTCTGACCCAAAAAGCGACATTTTCAAATCAGAAATTTAGCTGCAAGATTAGGCCAAAATTTGTATTATTTACATTTACATTTACACGCCTTAATGTCGGTTGATCGGATTCAGGCATGCGACCGAATGGTTCGCCATCGTTTTTTGCAAGTATATTCACATTACTGTCCAGAAATTAAATGTGACACGATTTACGATTTTTGCCAAAAGTTGAATCATTTAGTAGGGGCGAGTCGCTTTATTTTTGCTGAAGACATTCACATAAATTACTTGTTGAACACGGAAGTTTTTTTCGTATCAACTTTTTGATAGGAAATAAAGTGTGCAATGTTTCCTATTGCGTATAAAGAACGATTCTAAAAGCCCTTTGTTCCTAATATCTCAACAATTTTTTTTCTGAAAAATGCATGCAATTCGCAACTTGTGACGTTTTTGCGATTACACCTCGTTTACGTTCAAGTATCATACTAAATTAATTTTAAAAAGAAGTAGGCCTCAGTGAATTTTTAGGAGTTGGCGCAAATGTCTTGGTGCACCAACCCAACGCACCGGCGCAGTAACTCAGTTTCGTTGCTGGGAAAATGTTGACGACTTCTTTTCCTAGTTTTTAGATTTATTTAAGAGTCATTTGTTAATAATATTTATAAAATTACTTCAAAATTTCCGACGTTTTCCAAGTTACTCTTTCTTCTAAATGCTCAATTTTCAAAAGTTTTACTTAAAAATGCTGCCAAACTTAACGTATTCTCCATGAAGAATTATGAAATAAATTTTGAATCCTTGGTCGCTTTAGAACAAAAATCAAATAATTTTCTATAGTTTGCTAAAAAAAATGTGTTTTTTTAGGTTTGACTGAATTTTTTTGGGTTACTTTCTACTCAAAAACGCTCTATTTTGTAGAGTTTCACTTAAAAATACTGACGATCTGGACGTCTTTTACGCGAAAAATTACAAGATAAATTTATAGCTTGGTAAAAATTTCGCAACAACTTTTTTCAGCGTCGGATTCGAGACAAAAACGAAAATAAATTCCTCCCGTTTTTCCCTTAAAACCATTAAGGTTTTCTCCAAAACCGATCACAAAACTAGAAGATTTAAATCGAAAACGCAAAAAACATAATTTTCTGATGATTTCCTTCTTTTCTGAAAATTGGTATTTTCAGCCAAAATTGACAAAATTAATTTTGTTAGAAAATTCACTTTATTCATCGGTTTGCAGGAAACTTTAAAAAACCCTTTTCAGCTTCAAATTTGGCACAAAAACCAAATAATTTTATTCAGTTTTTTACAGAACGTAATTAAGATTATCTTGAAAAAACGGCCAGGGAGCAAAAGTTTACAAAACATTATTTGGAAAATTCGCCGGCCACATCGTTCTGAAAATATGTAAAGTTTGTTTAAATTTTCAGGTAATTCTAGTTTTAACAAAGTTTTTAACAAGTTTCTATTAAGCAATTCGTCTATATTCTAATCTTCTATCTAATTCTTCTAAACAACACTGTCACTAAACAGAAAAACCGGTTTTTTTTCCTAACGTTTTACTGTAAAATACTGGCAAAATTACTCTTTTATGCGAAAAATTAAGAGATCGATTTTACAAGGAAACTCGACGACTTTCTTTGGACTCAGTTCTGTTGCTGTGAAAATCTAGATGACTTTTTTTTAGTTGTTTGAACAACGTTTGAACAAAGTAGTAAAACCTTACTTAGAAAAAATGTTGATGACTTTTTTTAGGTGTGAAAATTCCAGTCTGGGGTCTTGTAAAGCTTTAATAAATGACTTATAACTCATTAACCGATGAATCATAACTCGTTAACTCTGAGACCGGCAACAACTCAATAGCGCAACTCAACACAGTGTTAACCAGGCCTAAAAAGAAGTTGAGACCGCAAAACTTTCAGGCTCAACAACATGCAATAACAACTTTTAGAATTATAACAGGATTAATTTGATTGATTTTCAGTTTCGTTTGCTGAATCTATCAATTGAGTAGAAATGTCTTGGTTGGAAAAGCAAATTTCAAACAATTTATTTCCATAAAAAAATAACAAATAAATAAATAATTAAGCTACTTTAAAGCGACATCAACAAGTTCAGTGATAAGAGCAAGATGAATATTGTCCCACTGCTTTGTTGCCCTTAACACTGAGGCCTAGAAACCTCTAAAGATTAGAGCTGTAACTCAGTTTAATGTTCACTACTATTAAACCCCCACACACTTACACCGATTGTCCCTTCTTGAAGTTTTTAAGCTGCATTATTTACACGCACATATTATATAATGGTGTTGTAACTATCGGTTAACTTTCAGTTCCTAAGTTAAGTTCTAAACGTGCGCACTCCCAGGTTGGAGCGATGTCAGTCAGCTATTCATGCTTCCTTCTTCGTTAAATTTTTTATTTCTCTGCCCTATCGGCAATGTCTTCACTTTTCCTGCCCTCATCAGGCATACTGTAAAGTGGCTTGAAGCCACCGATGAGTTGCGGCTTAAAGTTCTCAATATCAAACTCGCTGGTAGTGGCCAGAGGAAGCGTGGTCACTTCAGCCTCTTCAGTGGTTGTGCGATTCTTGTCCCTCACCACTGACCATCCCTGGTTGGTGGAAGCATCCAGCTTAACACTGGCTTGGAAAGGGGCTTGGAAATCCAGCTGGGCAGGCACTGGATCCGAATCCACATCCACATCGATCTTGTGATTGAACTTGTGGTTGGAGGGCTCTTGGTAAATGGGCCCTCTGAAAGGAACGTTCACGTTCGGATTCGTATGCATGGTGGCGTGAACGGTAATCTCGGAATTCTTCGGGCCATGCCCAATGTCATCATTGTCCACACTTCCTGGCCGAATTTCCGGAATCACCGGGCTTCCATAGTTGGGCATCGAGTATTTATCCGCGTTCAAATTCGGCTCCGTCGGCGTATAAGCTATAGCAATTGGTTTCTCCGTGTATGTTTTCAAGGTGGCCGAGATCTGGTTGGGGGCGAAATTGGGTTTTCCCCCCGTGACGATTCTCGACTCCAAATTGTCATTAACCGAGTTCCACTGGTTGTTGTAGTTGAACGACTCCTGGTTCAAGTCGCTGATTTTATTGCTTGCAGCCTCCGGGTGTCTGATGGAATCGGGCCTTTCTAGGGGATAGGGAAAGTCGAATTTAGCTGGAAACGTTGGAGGCCTGGGATGGGGTTTCAGAATGGGAGCCTCGTTTCTGTCCTGCTGCTGAAAGTCGAAGTCCCCATTGATTTTCGATGGATACAAAGGAGGCTCCGATTTGCTCCCGATTATCACTGGCTCGTTCCTTTCCACGTCGATTATCGGGGCGGTGTTAACCGGGTAGACTTTGTAGATGGTTTTATCTCCACCACTCTCCCGCTCTGGCTCTTTGGCCACCACTTTCACCGTATCAGTCTGTATTTCGGTCTTTTCCTCATCGCCATCCTCATGCTCGTCAGCGTCAGCGCTGTCTTTCTCCTTATCATTTTTAGCTTGAATCATTTGCAGGGTTTCCACTTCAGCGTCACCGTTGCCATTTCTGCGGTTATTTATGGGGATATTCGGAGGCGTTTGATACAAATTCAACTCCGGGCCGTTAATTAATTGCGACCTCCTGGGGTCTTCGTTCATGATTCGGTCTTCTGCCATAGGACTCTGCTCGTCCAGACTTTGAGGAGGCTGCGGGCCTAAGGGCCTATGATCGTCAAGATCGTAGTTAACCCGAAGAGGTAACCGTCTGCGGTCCTCCGGAGGAGGACCTCTCAAAATATTCTTGGGAGGATATCGATTGTACACATTTGGCTGCTCAGGAGGAGGTCCCATTTTCTCAAAGAATCCAACAGGCCTGTTGGACGGCCGCTCTAGTAACGGTTGCCGGTTAAGCCTCTGGTCGAAATGGTAATGTGGGGGCGCCGCGTGTCGATGCTGCGTGTTGGGCCTGAACTGAGGCAGGATGTTGGGCAGGTTGTCTATTCGTTTAAAGGCGACTTCAGTGGGGTTCGGTCTCGGAGGACGCACATACTCAGGTTTCCCGCTGTAGAAATGTCCTGGCCTGGGGTCCCATGGAGGCCTCATAGGCCTGTCTGCATACCGCGGGGGCAAAGCCCCTAAGTCATGCTCCTTTGGCGGCGTTAAATCGCTGGGCAATTGATGGTACATCGGCTTGGAGTTGAGCTTCAGCACTTCCCTGTTGTGTTGCTGATGGGACTGAGCCGGCTTCTTCTCCTCTGGGAAAACCACCTTGTTCCTCTCACTCTGTCCCTGGGGGCTTGGGAAGTTCACATGACCATCGGTTTCCAAAGTTGCGTCCATCACCTGACCAGGCACTTGCTTCATACCATTCACCGGCATCCCTATGGCTAGGGAGGCCTCGGAGTTTTGCATGGGCTGTATGGTCACCGCACTTCCAGTCGCCTCGGACGCCTGTGGTGGTTGTAGGCCTATTTGCAGGTGCTGGTTGGGGTGGGCAAAGCCACCCTCCGGCCCGAATAAGGGCGTGAAAGGTTTGCTATCAAATAGGTTCTCCTTTAAGGCGGTGCCTACGTACTGGCCTCCATCGCCTACGCTCTGATGGTGCCCGACCACCAGCGACATGGTATCCTGGCCGGGCGCTATGTGGAAGTTAGTGGAGCTGGGAGGCAGATTAGGCGGCCTTTGGTAGTCTTGGGGTGGCTGTAGTATCAGCTGGGGTTGCTGTTTGGCGGCCACCTTTTCGCTGTTGAGTTTCTCTCGCAGGTTCTGAGTGGCCACTATGATTGGGTCTTTGTTGAATGGCGGGGGGCTGATGTGGTTTTCCCCTAGAGGTAGGGAAGTGACTCGGGGGGTAGTTGGTCTGTAGGTTGTAGGGGAAATGCTGGGGGGCCTTGAAGTTGTGGTGGTGGTGGTTGTGGTAGTCGTGGTGCTGGTAGCTGTAGTCTTCTGCACCGTAAAGTCGCTGTAGGTGCTCGATTTTACGGGGAACGGTTTGTTTTTGCTCAAATCCGGTTTGGGGGCGATGGGCTTCTTCTCTAGCTTTCCCTTGTCTTCATGCAGAGTTTTGTTGACTAGCATCAGCTTGGTGACCGGCTTTAGAGGTTCCACGCTCAAGCTCAGGTCGTCGATGTTCGCGTGCACTTTATTCTCCACTGGGATGCTGTCCTGAATGTTCTCATCGTTGTAATCCTCCTCGTATTCGTAGCTCTGCTCCAGCCCCATATTGGAGCCAGTTAACACATTGGGAATGGGACCTGCATGGATGTTCGGGTAATATCCCTGAGTGGTTGTGGGGGAAGCCGGCTTGGAAGTGGTGGTTGACGCAGGCGGAACCGTTGCCTGAGTGGTACTGACGGTTTCATCATAGTCTCCAAAGAGTTGCTCAAATAGGCTCATGACGCGGTTTGTGGGCGCCTGGGTGCTAGTCGTCAGAAACACATCCCTAACGTTCTGAGTGGTTGAGGGCTTCCTGGGCTTTTCGCTTGCGGTGGTTGCCAAAACTTCCTCATTGTACTCGTACTCGTCACTGAAGCTCGGATGGGACATGGACGAGTTCAGAACAGTCACCAGTGGAGTGGTCAGCTCTGGGTATCTCCTTACTGTGGTGGGTTTCGTGGTTGTGGTGGTGCTTACAGGAGTGGTCGCCATGGTTCTCTGCGTGGTTCTGTACGAGTAGCTGGAAACTGTGGAATGGTAGGAGGCAGGCTTTTTGGTCGTGGTGGTTTTCTGCACCCCAAAAGAATCTTTATGGTTGTGAAACTTGTTAACACTCCCTTGGATCTTGGTGCTGGCATACGAGCTGGAGATCAGCGGGTAGACGTACTTGTTGGGGTTGTACTTGACGGGCAGGTTCAGAAAGTCGTGAAAATTCGGAGTCAGTTGATTAACGTCCGCCTGCTTATGGCTGCCGTATGAAATACTTCCGTCCTTCCGGTCGATGTTTTTCTTGTCGTGGATATCGGACGGTTGATCGTCCAGGTACTCATAAGAGTCGCCTTCCGCTGCCTTTAGGGACGGGGATTTATGGTCCAGGTCGATTTTGCCGGTTAAAGGATCCTTCTCCGCGTAGAAGGGCTTGCCTTTGTTGAAGATGTTCTCCGGCAGGTTGTAGCCAGGCAGAACAAGCGGCGAGGGGTTGGGAATTTCTTCTGAGTCCGTTTTGTTGGTCTGAAATTTTCAATGCGGTTTTAAAATTGATTTGGTTGCATATTAGTGCTTACTGGTTGCGTTTCCGCACTTTCCGTATAGTCGGAATAATCGTAGTATTCATCGAAAGTCGGAGGTGGTTCAGTTCGGTTCACGTTGTCTCGATGTCCGCCCATCAGGACGGCCGCTTCTGAGCAACGAACTCGTTGGACGATCAAGCCTGTTGATACCAAAATCTTCAGGATGACCAAGACTGTGTGTTTGAGTTCCATGATTGGATCTGAAAAAAGAGTTTTTAGGTTCTTGTGTGTCTAGTTTATTATTCGATTGTTTTGGAGTTTCTCCAATTTTAACAAAGTAAGTGTTCAGAGTGGCAGGAGGCAAGGGCGGATCCAAGGGGGGGGGGGTCATGACCCACCATTCAATTTTCTATATATGAGATATGAGCAAAAAGGGGACGGAAAGCATGAAATTTTGGCATAATCTTGAACCTAAGTGTTTGATATTCATATTTCGCTTTCTGTGTTAAAACTACTCGAATTTACTCACTCACGTTGTTACGACTGAATCGACTTTTCAATTCTCTATCCAACGATGCCAAAACGAATTCTGTGGCTAGAATGGTTCTTGAGAAACTTC